AGTGTAGCGTTGTGGAAGCAGGAAGGTCTTTTAATACTATGCCACAATGAGGGCAGTCAATTTTATGACTTTGTGGTATTAAACACACAATATATTTTTATTTCTTTAGAAGTGATTTTTAGTCTACAACCAAATTGATGACACTTGAGTAGACCTACTGAATACTCGTACATTGAAAGTGAAGGTATTATTACAGTAACAATATTTTTTTAAGTATATTCGTTCAGTATAATACTGTACCCCACTTTTGTAACTCCCAAAGAAAAATGATAAAGTGATAATGTTATATTGCTAATAATGTTTTTTATAATAAATAATTTGCAACAAGGAAATGATTGTGCCGATTATAGTGATAATCATATTATCATGATAATAATTCAAACATCCTCAAAATATATGACCAATTAATACAAATTTATTCAAGACATTCTTTCTGTACATATTTCATACAATTTACATTTAAGTAGAAATGTGTATACATTAAAACAAATCATGATAAATCTATAGTCACACACAAGTTTTAAACTAAAAGTGTTTATATATTGACATAAATATATTTTCTATTACTATATTATAAAAATTTTCATCATAAATAATGTCTATTTACATCACTTTAACAACAGTGTCTGTGTAAACATCCTTATTCAGTTGGGGGCGGGAAGTGGGTTGGAGGGGAGAGAAGGTTTCCAAAACCGTCCAAAAACATCTTTAAATGCTGTTTTAATTTTTCCAATGCAAAAACAACCCTTTTTAATTAATTTGTGTGCATTTCATTGTATTATCCAATATAATATACCCTCAATATTAGCTCTTTAGAAATGGGAAACTGCTGCACAGTTTTTTTATTAAGATTTTATTTATATTTTACTTTTCTTTGCAGATACCAACACTTTTGTCCCTGGTCATTGTACCTCCTGGGCGTAGAGAAGCAATGCAGGTAAAGTGCTTACTCAAAGCCACAAGCAAATGCACAACAAGGGATAGAAATTAATAAATTTTTCTTTAGGTCTTTATTGTAATGTTGTTTTAACTTTTTTCAATGCAATTTTGAAACGCCTTGAGTTTTGCTCTGAGGCTAGCTGATGGAAATTGGCAGAGTACTGAGCGGCCAATGAGTGTATGTCATGGTCACTCATTTGAAGGATGCGTTGCCGTAGCAAGTGCTGCAGTTCATTATCAGGTTCAAATGTGAAAGCATGCTCCTGGAAAATTCGGATCTGGTCTACAAGTTTAGCGATGCATCTAAACAAATGAAAGCAAACATGAATTACCTATATTTAATGAATTTTTGTATAAATGACTAGGTCCTACCACAAAAGAATTTTGTGTAACATATGCATATATTATCCTTACTTGCAAAAGCCATATATACGTACTTTAATGTATTTTTATTTGTGTTTATAAGCCACAAAATACTCGCACCTAGGGCTGGAACATACACCACTTCACAGCCCACCAATAGTGCAAGCTGGGGTATCTAAGCATGGCCAGCCGGGAATTATCAGCTTGTGGTTCGAACTCTCAACCACGAGGTTCACAACCTGAATGGAAAACGCCTCGCCAAACCACCTTCGCAGCAAAATTTAGTAAACATATGCCTTTGTATCAGCGACACTCGCAGAAATGGTGCGTTCCATTTACCTATATCGAATATTACCCTGCTACCTTCCACTGTACGGTACTAACATAATTTGACAAATGAATTCTTAATGTATTGCTTGTACCATGACAACTCCTCACTCAATATTTTGTATATTTGTTTATTTTACTGTATTTTAATTGACAAATAGGAACTCAATAAATGCCTTAATAGTAAGATGCCTATAAGGATAGTGCTCTAATATATTTCTTCCAGATTTGTGTAGGCGCCAGGGTGGTAAATCGTAACAAACACTTTGTCCTCACTCAAATTAGTATATGGTTATTACTTCTATTATATATATTAAATAGTACCATCTATGATAATTGTTTGTTAGAAGTCATTGAAAACTTACTTCATTTTGGTCCATTTGTACATGCCATTGGCAAGGGTAAAACCACCGACTTCACTTTGTTGCAGATGCATCAGTAAAAATAGTGAGCAAGGCAGAGTAGGCTTGTCATGGTGACTGTTTCCTTGGGTCAAGCTTTCACCATCCCCCTTCAAAACAATTTTGGCAGCCTTCAGCTTCTCAAAGCTGCTTGCAATCTTACTGGGAAGACTCCGCCAGGCCTAGCAAGCACAAATGCAACAGAAAAATATGAATATCAGTATTTATTATCCATTAACACCATATTGATATTTAAAGCAGTTTTCAATTTCCTCCCCATCTCTTGTCTGCTCTCCTCTGTCATATCCTGAGCAGACCTGGATCATGAGGAACTTTATAAACATTTCTAATGCTCCTTTCATCTAATCATCATAAATATGGAAAGCAAGTTAAAAATGCTAATAATTTTTGCATAATAATAAAAAGGGGTATTATTTATTTTACCAAAAATAGCCAAGCCCAATAGCTTCTTAATAAGTGAATAGACTTTCTAGTTAGACAGAGTTCTTAATGCTAGGTTTACGCTGTTTAATTTCAGTAGTCAGGTATCACTAAGTTATAAGTGACAACTTACAGGAACTTGTCTGACTATCAAGCTGTCCAGAGCATCAATTATCTGAACACAGGTTGCCAGGTTCCTCGTATCATAGCACTCTCTTGCTATAGTGATGAACTTGCAGAGTATAGCTATTTGGTACTGCAAAACAACAAATATCTTTCAGTATAATTGCCCTAACCTTTAGTCACACCAATCAATTTTAATTTATATATGATTTTAATTTATATTTGAAAAAAAATGAAATGATTAATCATTTTTAAAAAATTTGTATACAAGAGAAAACTCATAGATTGCAGGTCAAAAGTCATCTCACCTTTGGACTACTTGATGTGACGACCTCAGCTGCAACCCAATGCGAGACCTCACGAGCATGCTGTAACAGAATATGAACAAGTCCCTCATCTCCCAACGTGTTGACAAACAGACTTGGATAGTCCTGTTCCTCCCTGTCATCAACACGAGACAGAGCGGATGATGCTAACGAGACATCTGTTTCCATACTGACACCAATGCCATGGTAACGAGAGTTGAGGTAGTGAACTGGATGAACCTTCCGGAACAATTCCTGCAACAGAAAAGGTAAGATGAACATTTGCTCTCCCATGTAAAAGCATGTGGTGTATAGCATGTAAGGCGCTCAAATTTCAATCACAAGGTTGGGGGTTCGAGACTGATGCTCACCACACTGCTTGTAGTGGCCTTGGGCAAGACACTTTATCTGCATTTGCCTCTCTTCACTAAGGAGAATAAACAGGGACCTGGTAGGAGGTAAATGATTCGGAATGAAATTAGTAATACTGATTACACACATAATAGGATCACTCTCCATAGTGTGAAGAAGATTGGATATTGTGCATGCTTGATTTTTTGTACAATGACCAAGGAAAAAAGTGGTTTTCTGGATAAGTGTGCAATATAAATCTATAAAATAAATAAATTAAAAAAAAAGATCATTCAAAATATGATTTTCAAATTCAATTTATGTATAATTGTGGCAGCCTGGGATTTTATTCTAAAGTCACCCCAATACATGTAAAGTTACTATAATAGACTACAAACGCCACTGCTTACTTAAATAAATATATAAATTTATACCAGCACATGCTAATATCACACGTTTTACTCCATCATCATAAAGATCCCCTAATGTTGCCATATCAACCAATATCTGACCCACCTGTTGCATAAGTGTTAGCTGACATGCCAGCGTTTGTGCTGTGTATTCACTCATCATGAAACCCTTGTCAATAGGTTGGACTGGCATGTAAATAGACTCTGCTCTGGGCTGTGGTTCCTTTTTAGGGGGTGATAAACAGGATATGATTCCACCACGCATCTTCTCCTTACGTAGAGCACGAGTGGGAACGCTCAATACTTCCCGAATAGAGTACCTCTAGAAATAGCAAGAATCAAATCAAACATTTGAGCAAGAATTTATGAGAGAGTTTGAAGTTCTCTATTAAACATTTTAAATCAATTATTTGGCTAATGAAAGGTACACACGTGTACCCTATATTTCTTACATGGTTTTCTTACCTTTTTTGGTTTATCATGGCTTCCACGTTCTCTGTATTCAGATAATGTTTCCAGCAACTTATCCTCTTCCTTCTCTTGTTGCCGCTTCTCTAAAAGTTTTAGCAAACACTCCCCTTGAGCATCTACTGGCATTATCTATACAGCAGAACAAAAATAATCAATTAGATTTTTGTATTTCTTGGTTAACTCTTTCAAACTAAATTTTTGTAGAAATTTGAGCAAGATAAAAATAATTAACTAATTGGATTCTCTATTTTCATGTAACTCTTCAAACTAAATTTGTGTGAAAACGTAGGCAAGACAAGAAGAAATTGGACTATACAATTAGATGTTGCCTTACATTCAAGATAAATAACTGTCTTGCTCCTTAACAATTATGCTGTGTTTCACCATATCATAGCCAAATGGTAGAATGACAAAACTACACACGTCAAAAATGCTATATAAAAGGTGAACTCATTAAACAAAAGACCCAAATAGAGGTTTTCTTATATACCTTTTCTCTGATGAATTCTGACAGCTGATTGACAAGTTGCAAGTTTGGTCTGAAGTCAACAGTGTAATAATTTTCAATCCATACTAATATGATATCAATAGTACGACATAAAATCTTAGTCCTGCTCTCTGCTTGAGCTGAACTCATACTGGAAAAAAATAACAAATAAAATATAAATATTATGGCTTAAGTTATTTGTTTTGCTATCCACCTAAGCTGGAGTCATACTAGAAATTGATATAGCAAACACGATAATATAAAGTTAATGCATGCACAGTAAGGTAATTATTTAAAACCAAATGAAGGGATTAGCCATGAAAATAAATCATTATAATCTTGTTCTTTTAGTATTTTGAAGATTGAGTATTTACCTTCTAGCAGCACAGAATTTGTCTACGATGAATTTGTAAACTTCTTCAGTTGTTGCATAGTAGTGGTATGTAGAAAAGAAATGATGTATGTAGCCTTCAAGAAGAGCTTGTCTGGGGAAAAAAAAAATAACATTTGTGAGGCTAATCTGGTCGTAGCCACTGTGTGTGCAGAACCGTGGAGACCTCTAGGTCCCCGGTTCAATTCCCATCGCTGTTCCCCTTGTGTTTCAGCTGGAGGGCTGAAACACATGTTATGATAGCGCACCGTCTCTCGGATGAGACGTTTAAGCCGTTGGTCCCATGTGCAATATGGCTCATGTGCATGTAAAAGAACGCAGTACACTCTTCGGAAAAGAGTAGGGGATTGTCTCCCTGTGTACTGCCCAATTCACCACCAGAAGGATCTCAAAACAAGTCTTCAGACTTCCCTGGTTATAATTGGTGTGATTCACACCGAAATACTTACTTATGTTATGTTATTCCTTAAAGACAAATTATTTACCAATAAATAATGACACAGTGATGAAAAACTTAAACTACTATGCAATATCTTTCTCTACGCATGCACAATAACTATTTCATAGGCCCTACTAACCTGGCAAAGAGGTAGGAGAAAAGACCAAGTGGTTCCCCTGCCTGTAACATGCAGCTTGATTTTACGTAATGGAACGACAGCAACGGACATTCCTCTGGGCTTGGATGCAGATACATTGGTTCTTGTCCCATGCTGCAAATATAAAGTTTTGATAGATTGATTGATTGTTTGTTTGACTGACTAATTAATTGACTGACTGGTTGATTGATTGATTAAACAAGTTGCTTGTTGTAATGTCTGACAATTAACTGTCAAAACAATATTTTTTATCCTACCTTGTTGCAAATGAGTAAAGTAAGGCATGGTCCAAGCCCCATTGCTCTGAATACAGCATCTCCAGGTTGCGCTTGGCAGATTCTAGGAAGTCGACTTTAGCTGTCATCTCATCTATCTGCTTGCCAACTTTCAGCACCATACTCTTGTGATCTGTGCCTTACGAAGATTGAAAATAACGACACTTAATTAGAAAGGAAATCTTGGTTCAGAAAGATATTGTAATTTTTAATGTTTCAATATTTACTGGATCATCATCAGAAATGACTATATGGATTTGTCTTTTCATACATTACTGTATGGAATTAAAATTCTTGCCTTGAGTTTTGACTAATTTGTGAGTAGGCCTATCATTGTAATGACTGTTTTTTTATATTTTCATATTTACTTTGGAATAAATTTAAAAAATCCTAAAGTATTTATTGCAGCTTTTTAACTAATACTTCCATTGCTGCATTTTTAATAAAACATAAATCAGCTACATTAAAAAAACTTGCCAGTTAAATAAGCAAATTCCATATCAACGAGTATGCACAAAATTGTTACATATTTTTTCAGTATTTACTTTCCGAAATCATCTACACATTATACACACACACACACACACCTGCATGCAAATAACACACACACACTCAGCCAGGTACACACACTGTGGCCTAGTTCAGACTTGGAGATAAGCCAGGCTCAACGTAAGCCGGCTGAAGGTTAAGCCCGGTTGAACTTTGCCCGGCGTTTAAACTAGCGGGGTCAGCCAGGCACAAGTATTTGCATATTAATGAACCGTAACCAGGAAACGAGTTTTGAAACATTGCGCTCGAAATGTACGCTCGCTCACAGAACATGTAATTGAATGCTGATTGGCAAGACCCCCCGCAGCGATTAAAGCCTGGCTTAGAAAAGTTAAACACGGTGGCACGCCAGGCCTAGTTACTATAGGAACACAGCCTGGCTTGAGATAAGCCACCTAGTTCTGACTGGCACGTGGATAAACCCGGTGAGTTGAGCCGATTTTATCTACCTAGTCTGAACTAGGCCTGTATTATAATCTAAACATTATTTACTCCTGCACATATGTCTATTGCATTACACATGTGTCAATATGAATGCAGGTGTAAAATATTAGACATGCAAATTATGTGCAACTGCATTTAAAAACACATGTCTATGGCCTAGTTCAGACTAGGTGGATAAACCTGGCTCAACCCACCGGGTTTATCCACCTGCCAGTCTGAACTAGGTGGCTTATCTTAAGCCGGGCTATGTTCCTATAGGAACTAGGCCTGGTGCGCCACCATGTTTAACTTTTCTAAGTCGGGCTTTAATCGTTGTGGGGGGTCTCACATTGACTTCGGGTGACGAAATGACCAATCAGCATTCAATTACGTACGCTGTGAGCGAGCGTACGCTGTGAGGGAGCGTACGCTGTGAGCGAGCGTACGCTGTGAGCGAGCGTACGTTTCACGAGCAATGTTTTGAAACACGTTTCCTGGTTACGGTTCATTATTATGCAAATTTTCGTCTGGCTAAACCCGCTAGTCTGAACGCCCAGCAAAGTTAATCCGGGCTTAACGTTGAGCCGGGCTTAACTCAAGCCTGGCTTATCTCCAAGTCTGAACGTAGCCTACAATGTAGGCTCTTCAAGCAAGCACACAAATGCACCTGTGTTAATATGAATACAGGTGCAACATATTCAAGCAGAAATATTTTATCTGCAATTCCAAAAAAATTAATAAACAAATCAAACTATGAAAATAGGGTAATACCAGGTACCTGATGGTTTAATAATCTGGCTGAGGACAGGAACTGAATAGCATGCAGGATGACAAATAAAACAATGGATTGTTACACAAACATAATGCATTTAAAATTATAAAATAGCAAATACATCACCAAATTCACCAAAACACAGCACACACAGCAAAAGCGCAGTTCACAACATTATATTTTATTGGAGATTAACATTTATTGTAAATACAAATGCCACAATATAAACTGTAAACATTATATTGGCTACATTTTAAACTGTATGCCTAACCAATTCTGTGCTTATATACAAATAGTGCAAGTGTATCACATTATACTTTTCGCAGAGTATAGCAGGAGATGTCAGAAATGAGGAGAAAGAAAAGAAAGGCTGTATGTGATGGACTTATCATGTCAAGCAACTCGGGTAAAGACAACTTTTTATTTAATGCATTTAATATCAAGTAGGCAAGAGGTAAAATCTCTTTGCCGTGACTACATGAACCTAGTATTACCATTCTGAGCGAGTGAGGCTAAAAGGTCGTTGAGAGCAGGTTCTAATCTTGGAAATGCTGCATTGATGAAAACATGATCATAGTTTAAAAGAGAATCAATACATACATGAAATGAAAACATGAATTTGAAATGGTTGTGCATGATACAATTTATATTAATTTTGAACATCTATTCAAATATTAGTTTGTTTCTTACTGCTACAATATTGTAATAATTATCATTATTATTATTACATTGGTTACTTTGAACGACCACTAAAAATAGACACGGAATGAATAATGAAATATTAACACCAAATTCTTAATATAATTACCTTTTAATTGTTGAGCTTCAATCATCTTCTGATAAAACCTCTGTGACTTTGATCTCATCTTCCTTTCCATCATAAGCTCCTGATCAATAACCTGACAAATTAGAACAAAGAAGATGTCAAACCCATGCTTTACTTCCATTGTGACAATATTCTGTAAGTTCATGACATGAAGTGTCCACATCATTAAAATTGCCAAAGAAGTAGTTTATAATATGCCATATAGAACATTCAATAATGCTTTTTTTTAATAAACAAAACTTTAAACGAAAAAAAATAGTGGTCTCAAAAAATACACACCCGTATCTTTGCCTCAATTCCTTGTTGTGTTTCACAATTTACAACCAGTTTGTTTGTGTAATCCTCAACCTGTGGATCAATTTCTTTATACATCACACCAGCATTCAAAAGAATGTTTTGATCATCTCCAATAGATCCTGACAAGGAGCTTGGAAATGATAAAATTGAATCTTCTTTTGATGCTCCAATAGATTGAGGGTTAATTGAAACCCCAGAAGATGTGCTGTTCAGAGATAGAGAACTGCTAGCATGAGTGAGCTTTTGGTTTAACATTGACTTCAGTTTATGCCTAGTTGCAGAACCTGATCCTGAACTAGATTCAGAACTGTGCCTTGCAAGAGTTGTTGGATTTGGTAATGATGGTGCCAGCATCTTTGGCTTTCTGTGAGTCTGTATAATTTGTTCTTCACCACTTCCAGGTTCATTACTTCCTGAAGTATCCCAAGACTGTACTGATCTCACACTGGCAGCACTGCTCATTGACTTACCAATAACAGCATACATGTCACTGGACCGATCATCATCCAGACTTTTTGATAAAGATCCATGAGAAGAAGAGCCACTGGCAATACTACTCCTGGAGTTGCTGAGTTCAGCTTCATGGTGACTACAATCCAATGAATTACTTTTGGTTGAAGGTCTCTGTTCATTTTTTACTGCTTTATTAGACTTACTTGAGCTCCCAGATTTTTGTCCCTTTTCTGAAATAGCTACTATTGAACTTTGCAAGTTATCACTGTTTAAAGTATCCATTTTATTTCTTTTCTTTATTCTTGGGGCAGCGACTGGATTTTTTATGTAGTTGTCTATATCAGATACTTTAGGATTTTTGTTTTTTCTTTCTATATCTTTCTTATTTACTCCATCTTTGGTAATTTTTTCTAGTTTATTTAATTTTTCTGTTAGATCCTTTGGATTAACTCCATGCTGATCCTTCAATTTTTTAGTCTTTTCTTTTACTTGTTTTCTTCCATCTTTTCCTGGAACTGTCTTACTCTCCTTTCTTTTTTCTATTAGTTCTCTGAACAATTTAGTATCAGCTACAACATGAGATCTCATTAGTGCTGTGTTCTCTTTTGTTCCTCTTTTGCTTGCAGGTTTGTCAGCTGGGAGAAGATCATCAATGATCGAAACATTATCATCACTGTCTAAATTGTCAGGTGTATTGCTAGGGGACAAGGTGATTGGTTCTGTCTTGCGCCTTGGTCTACTGGGGCTCATGGCAAGAGGTCTATGTAAAAGAACATAATATAAAACTCAATTCTATCATGGCATTATATTTGTAAGTGGGATGTTACTGTACTTATTAACAAAGATAAATAATTATTTAAGAATATATTATATTATATAAAAATTGTATTAAAAAATGATAATATTTAATATAGTTAAGATGATTATAATACTGTTACCTTTGTGATTTCTCCGGCACACTTCCATTTACTGCTTCATAAAGGTTCTCTATCAGATCTTCCTCCCAAAAAAGGTCACAGAACTTCTCTGTTATTGCACTTGCAAATGTCATCCAACGCAAATGTGCAAGTGATACAATGTATTCAGCTAAAATATTAAAACAGAAGAACAATAAATATTTGGTTACTATTATGGTAGCTATAATACTTCAGAATGTTTAATCTATAAATCTGAGATGCAAATTTTTTAATAATGAATATGCATAGAATTCTTTATTTAAAAAGTGACTCAATAAGTATCCCTGTCTTCTCTAATTCAGATAACTAATTTGATGAATTATAAGATGTTTCTAGGGAGGTCAAACCTTTTTAAAATATTTACTTATTATTATTTTTTATTTTTTTATTATCATTGCCCTAATAATTCATTAAAAAAATAGTTACCCATCTGTAGGTCCTCAACACCATTCTCCAAATAGCCATCAAAGGCAAATGCTATTCGCACCAATTTAACAACCTTCCTCAGCACTTTATTTGCAACTAGCGCATCTTTCAGCGGATTTGCTGTGACGTCTTCACCACTTGAATGGCTATACCTTAAATGCACTCCACTATCGCGTGAAACCGTTGAAACAGATGTTGGTGAAACTGCTGTATTTAGAGTATCTAGTGGCTTTGTATCATCAACATCATCCTTAAGAGCAAATACGACATGAGATCGAGGATCAACACTGGAAGCTGTCTTTGTATTTCGTTTTCTCCCTCGTACATCTTGATTTGATTTTCGACAAGGCTGTGCTAATGGCTGTGCATCAGGTTTGTGAAGTTTCTCATGTGTTTTACGGTCCAAAGACTTGGAACGGTCTCGTAATTTGCTTTGTTCAAGCTCTCTTCCTTGTTTTCGATCTTGTGATTTACTACGGGTTTTTTCAAAATCATGGGAAACATCTACACGATTTGACTTCACTGTTCTTTTCATGTACCTTGGCATACGAACATTATTACGTGCCAACCTACCTGAATCTTGGTATGTAGTACATTCACTGCTTTCAGAATCAGTGCCATTGGTTGCTTGAATTCGAGGCAACTTTGATGCAACACCATGCTTCTTTTCAATCTTTTTTCGATATTCCTTTTTAATTCCATCTTTTTTAGTAATATTTTTCTTTTCAATTTCCTTGTCAGTATTAACAGCTTTACATGGAATGGCAGAATTCTCTGCAGCAACTACGGTTGGAGGTACATTATTTGCCAAATTTGAAGGTCGCTCAATTGGACGAAATGCCGAAGAATGTACACCAGTGAGATCAGTTTTAGCTACAAAGGTTGTTGGCAATCCTGTTGATGAAATTACAGAAGTGCTTATGCTGTTAGAGGTTGCAAATACAGAGGCTGGAGATGAGGAGTAATTGGAGTAAGTTGGTGAAAGTGACTGTCTTACAATATCTGATGATAAGGAAGATTGTAAGGTACTCATTGCCCCAAAAATTGGTACAGTAACTGGAATAATGTGGAAGAGTCCAGTCTGTGGGTCTTGGCAAAGTTGAACAGGACCAGAGATGTTAGGTAAGGGAGAATTTAATTTTCCAGTAGGGTTTTGAGTTGCTACATCTGGTGATGAAATTGGAGCTAATGACACTACAGGCACTGGCAAAAAATCAGATTTTTTGAAAGGCATCTGTTGAGTTGTAGATATCAGTGATTGAGTTGTAGGAGACATTACTGTAGCTGATGACGATGTGGAACGAACCAATGTAATGGGTGAAGATGCAGATGTAACTGATACTGAAGAGGTTAATTGAAGTGACGATGAAACCAATGACTCCTGCATCGAGATGGAAGAAACATTCTCCTGAACTGGAGATGACTGACAGCCAACCTTGGAATTTTGATGTTGATTATGTGTTGTATTTTTATCTACTGATGCTTGAATTATAGGTATCGATGCTTCTGGTATCACTGCAATTACATCTTCATGGTTTCTGGAGTTACTGTCATTAACTTCTTTTTCCGTCAGACTACTGTGATCATTATCAACTTCTTTAAATGATGATACAAGTTCAGCAGACTTTTTTACAGCACATATTAATTTTGATTCAAGTTGTTTTCTCAAGATGTTTTGCTGAGCATCTGGTAGAGACCATCTTCTGCTGTCAAGACTTGTCTTGGAAGTTGTATCTGTAGATATTGACATTGGTTGTTTCTTCACATTATTTGAAACTTCTAAAGACACACTGACAGGGGAATTGCTAACGTCTTCACTTGCTGCATCCTTTTCCAAATCAGTCACCATTGTAATTGGGGGTGGAATTTTCTTTGGAACCTGAGGACCTTTTTTAATTGCTTCCATTGCAATTTTGGCTTTTAACTTGACACTATTGACTGGTGAAATGTCCTCTTTACTGCTTACTTTAGTAGCAGACTTATCTGAGGAAATAACAATAGGAGTAAAATGTGTTGCTTTAGAAGAATAGGCACTTGGCAGAACTGAAAGACTAGCTCTCCTAGTACATTCAGAAGATTTTGCTGGATGCATCAAATACTTTTCTTTGGAATTTCCAATACTCTTTCTCTTGGTGTTGAAATGTGTCTGCATAAATGCTGAATTGTCTTCTGATGTAAGTGAATCATGATTAATGGCAGTCTTATCAACATTTTTCAATGATGTATTTAAAGTCTCACTATTTTTTCTTTGCAACATTTCAAAAGCAGACTGTCTGTAATTAAAGGTATTTAATGTAGCAATACTATGTGAACGCACAGTTCTTTGGAAGTCAATTGGACTTACCAAGTCGGATTCAGAAGATGACCATGGATCATTCAAAAGGAAGTCATCTGAATCCTTTCCTTCAGAACATGATGACACTTTGCGACTACCAGGCTTTAAATCAGTGGGTTTCTCTTCCTCTTCCGGAATGCTACCTTGGCTCAGATATGTCCGTTTATATCGTGGTGTGATAGGCAAACACTTGCTTGCACTTTCAAGTAAATTATTATTCTCCTCTAATTTTTGTTTTGTGTTATCTACTTGTAAATTGATTTGTTCAGTTACAGAATGATCCTTCCACCCAGGTTTCTCTCCTTCATAATGTTTTGCTTTTCCTATTTTATTTGGAATTAAAGAACTTCCACTACTGTGGTATACTCCACGGAAAGATGTGTCACTGTTTCTTCTTCCATCTTTTGAAGGTTTTTTAGTTCCATTTAACAATGAACCTGTGATTTTGTTAGGAAGTTTCCATTGAGATTGATCTAAAATATCTCTGTGTACAGATGTGTCCTCTTGTGAAACTTCTGTTGCCTCAGTAGGGGTTTCTGTCCCTGATGTCTCTTCAACACTAACATTTGTGATTGAATCTCTCAAGACATCTGTACCTGAATAGATCTTTTTTAGAATTTCCTGAGCCCTTTGAGAAAGGTTATCAAATGTGCTGCCATTCTGTGAACCTTCTTTGTCCCAACCAGAAGACATTTTGTTTGGTGTAGAACTGTCTTTTGTAAGTTCTAAATCTATAATCAAATTGTTTGAATCAGCTCCTTCCTGATTTGTGTCTGTAAATTCCATTGAAATTTCTTCATATTTTTTTATTCCACCAGGTTGTTGAATTTGATGCTGTGAAAGGTTTTTAAATATTTCTGCATTTAGTCTTATATCATCTGTGCCACTTCGTCCATCGGCCACTGGTCTCGACTGCTCCTCTCCTTCTCCGATGCCTCTCTCCTGTGCTATAATTTTCAAAAAAAGTATGAACCATTTACTTATTGTTTATACTGCATGTGTACTGTATGTATACTGTTCAGGGGCGGATTTAGGGGGGGGCCGGCCCGGCCCCGGCCCCCCCTTTTGGGAAGTAAAAAAAGAAAAAAAAAAAAAAGAGGGAAAAAGAAAAAAAATAATAGCCCAAAATGTCTCAAATGTTACGTTCGGGCGTCTAGAACACAAAAATTTCGCGGGGGCATTCCCCCGGACCCCGTACGACAGTGTTGTCTCAATCGGCCCAACTTCCGGCCCCCCCTTTTGGACATTTCTGGATCCGCCCCTGCTGTTGCTACTTAAAGTATTATATAGCATATTATTATTAACTTAAGAATGTATATACTCTTGGGAAAACTTACCATTAGTTTCTATTGGTTTCAGGTTAACAATGCTTCTCCCAATTGATGACAAATTTCTGCAGATTGTTTGTGAAGATTCTTCTCCAAGATTATTCAAACATGCGGCAATTATCTCTTCATATGATGGTCTCCTTGAAGGATCATCTAGTGACATCAATGTGATCAATCCAAAAAGCCCATTACTGATTTCAACTTGAAGATCTGCTGGTAAATTGAATTCTGCTGCTTCAAGTAGACAGCGTGCTAGTGAATACAGGTGGCCCTAAACAGAAAAATGCTTTATTTGAATAATGGTGGTCATAGAAATAAAAACACTTGTTTAATACATATGTATTTAACTACAGTAGCTCAGAAATGTATTCCACTATGGAAAAACAACTCTAGAATTATAAACACTTATTCGCAGGTGACTTGAGACAGAAACAGAAAATTCCAATATAGATGTATATAGTAATATATGTTAATTTACTTCATTCATGTGGCGCATTAAATAAGCAATTATTAATTTATAGTGATGCACTCTACTTCAAACACATACAATTACTGTATTTTACAGGTGGCTTAGCATATAAAAATATATATAGAATATAAATCTTAGTGCAAAATTAAAAAAAAGATTCATTAATTGAAACGTTATCACTAAATTAGCAACTGCATGCTATTTATTTGAAGAGAAATGCACATTTACAAGTGTCAAAATAATATTCACTTTTGACATTGTAAAAATGTGCGTTCTCGTTAACATGGAAATTTCATCGATCAGACAACACATCTCCATCACCTGCCAATATTTCCTATAACATTCCGCACAGGAAATCAACTTTAGTCCTTTTGTAATTAATATTCATTTTAATCAAATTAAAAGTCAGTCTACTTTTTCACAATCAATTATTTAGCTTAATAGATCTGTGATATATGGAAATTGTTTGAATGTCTTGAAACTTATTGTTTATGTTGATTTATGTCAATCGTTATATTTTCTCATTTAAAACGGGATTGTTTTTGTAACTCTCAAGATTTGACATCATTATCAATTACACATTTATCCATCTATGCTATATCGAAAAAGTAATCAACCTGAGATCTAAATCCATGACTGGTTGTACTACTACAAGTATATTTATTTACATCAGATGCATTAGTACACTTTAAGATTATTATACTTCTTGCTCAGATGAAAATGATTTAAAACTCTTAGAATTTAATCTACAGGAAAGTATAACTATTGGCAAGCAAATCTAATGTAACAGCCTCCCTGACCAGAACTATGGTTTTCCCTATATATTGGATAGTATCTATGACTTAATTATTCAATACAGTAAACTACAGTGCACCTTCCAATTTGAGATCCCTCTAATTCCGGACTCCTCTAATTCTGAGACCCCTCTAATTCAAGACTTCAAAGAAGATTTTTCAAAGAACCCAACCCAAAGACCAACCCAAATTATCAGGTCCCAAAGGTGGTTTTGAATTAGGGAAAACTGCATATGCATGAGGAGCATCTTTGAAAGATACTGGTGAATTATAAACGCACATTTATGTAAGTGTCACAGTATATTAAATAACACTCCAGTAAAATGTAGCTAATGTAATAAATATCTATGAAATAAAATTTGTTCTGCCCAAAATATTTTACTGAAATATATAAAAATAATAAAATAAGTACAATATGAAATGAAATAACAAATAAGTTAGACCTCATACTGACCACAATATTTTCATTTGACATTTCTCGATAAAATTGCAATAGTTGAATGCAAATTCTGTCAAAACTGGCTTTGTGTTAATATCTGGAATATCATTACGGTAAAACTGTTAAGGTCGTATTATAAAATTCATGTAAAATTCAATCCCGTTTTCTGTTATCGTACAATCTTGTAAAGCTCCTATTAATGTTTTCACAATTTCAGAAAATGCAGGAATAAACATTGAAAATAAAGCAAAGCGTTTCGAGGAAAAATTGCAGCATGGTGTCTATATTCAAGAGCTTGCAAAGAGACAGTGTGTATATATACCACACTCGTTGAGAAGAAAACCATCCTGACAATGTAAGTTTAGGTCCAAATCTGGATGTAGAATAAACCAAGGAGTTATTAGAGGCTGCAATTCCACTAGCAAATCTGATTCAAATTAATTATCGAGTTCTACACAGAAATATTGCACCTAAACTCCACATCTAGAAAATGTTTTACAACTAAATTTTATATTGAGGAAGCAGCTTGCCCGCACAATGTCTTCACTGAAATTCTTCATGAATATTCAACATTCATGTGTAAATTTTTAAGCCAACAGAAATGCAATTCATAGTTCTCCAAGTATGTTTCACATATCTTCTCATTTCTCAACGATAGCAATATTGGCGCCAATCCTCCTTTGTCAGTAGCAAATTTAGTTTTAAGTCAAGTAAATCCCGCAAATAACAACAAATGAAAACATTTACCAGATGCTCCGTTACTATTTCTATCCATCCACAATTTGAACAAATCACCATCAAAATTAAGTATTGATTCTGATGTTGATTTACCCAACAACCAAACAGTGACAATAATGCCAATTTTTCTTCGCTGACTGAACTGAATATGATTAATTTGCAATTGAATTCTCGTCTGCAAACAAGATGGAATGAAGATATAGCTGCTGTAATAGATTCCATCAAGGTGTTCTCTAATCAATGATTTATGAATAGACAGGAAACCAGTATACCTAAGTCAGAATTATTAGATTGCTCGCATCACCTGAGCAAAAGATGGACTTATATAATTCAGGCGGTAATAAGAGAGTTAAAAATCATGGAAGGAACAGCTAAAAAAAAGTAAATAAAAAATATTTTTTTTACAAAATGTTGCTTAAAAAATTATTGAGAACAAACTGAACTAATATGAATCATGCTCAAATACTAAATTGTATATACAAACTGTTAATTCATAAGCAGGATTTTTTTTGTATAAATACATTGCATTATTAATATAATGTACAATTAATTAATATATAATAATAATTCCTTTTAATTATGAACATATACAGTAGTAGGCTTATAGTAACATGTTGAATTTGTTTATTATTTACACTGTAAAACATGCAAAATCTTATAACTGATGAAAATACATTTGAAAGGAGTTACTCACCTCAAAAGTTGGACCACATGAGTTATATTCAGGTGGCAAGTATTCACTGTCATCAGAATCTAAATTTAAAAAAAAGTTAGGTAAATAATTAAATTGTGTGAAAATACCAATTTTTTAAACTTCACTTAAGATTATTACAGTATTTTGATTATTTATATTGTTAATTTATTGGCAAATAAGCAAGTGAAAGCAAAGAATTAAACTGTTCTTTGCCTTCATTTTTCAAATACCTGTAATAATTGTAAATGTTCAATTGATTTATAACAACAACAATAATGTGCACAAAAGATGGTCTCCTTTGTTGAAAACTAATTTTAGCCATGTGGCTACCTGTTATAAAGTATAAAGAATATATTTAATAAAGTTTGAATCCAAGGATGAATATATTACACAGAGGTCAGGATAGACCCCACCGAGTTGACAATAAATTGTAAAATAGAAATTTGTAAGTGTTCAAAATGCTTACTGTACTTGAATGAACTGATATACTGTATGCCAATGGTGACTTTGCATAGATCTGATTAAAAACTATTTTTTTAAGAGACACCTGCTCCCTCTTGAGGGTTACAATCTATGCAATGTATGTGTGAAACTAGACAAGTAAGTTTTTCCTTTTGAACAAGATACAGTAAGGAATGTTTTAGTTGACAATGATGAATCTTATAACTGTAGCCCATATATCACCTGTCATTGTTATTGTACGTGAGTAGGCCTATGTAATGAAACACATTAGTAGACTGGAGAGGGTGCAGGGGAAGGTCACTGTATTCAAAAGACAAGAATTGGACACTTCAAGCTACTTCAGGTTTGGATTAAAGACCCTAAATATTTTATGCATGGTAAGATTTTAAAATCCTACAGGGATACTAGTCCTTTCTTATTTATTGATTTTGTGAAACCAAGTGAAAGGTGTGAAGGGTACTTACTAAACGGCTAAAGCAACATTAATTCACCATTTGTCTTATTTACCCAGACCATGGACCTAAGGTATTAATCCCAGACTACGGAAATATCTTTATATTTATATAGATGTTTATGATGATAGTATTATATTACTTTAAGCATACTAATGCTGGTAACCATATTGATGTCATGTAAGCCAAGGGAACCCAATGGTCTTCCCCATTTTTCCGGCTACTTCTACCCCTTCCATCCAAACAGTACAGTGTGTATTATAATATCATTATAATTATCAATCCTTTTATAGTAACGTTATGGAGAAACATCTTTGCTATTGATAACTACAAAAAAGATAAACAATTTTAGAGAATGCTATTGAGAACAACAGCAACCCTATAGGTCTACTATTAGTCATGGAACTGTAGTATTACTTTATACAATAAATGGTATACATTTCCATCTATGGTTTTCACTGTATGTACATCTGATATGCGAGTTGTAACCAAATGCTGTAACAGGTTGCAGACAAACATGAAATAGAACAGTTTAATTTTAAAAATTAAACCAGGTCTATTTGGTTGAACCTAGCAAAACAGAAGAAAAGATCAAAAAGGAAAATATGGTGAACAAATGAATAAAGCCAGGTTCCAGGGAAAAATGTATACTGTATATCTTACAACTGATTTTTCTAAGTTCGACAAAAAAATCAGGAATGGTTCATGAGATACAGATAAATATTGAATGATTTGAATATTTAAATACTGGGGCAAAAACATAAAAAAAAACCTGACTTTAAAGCAAACAAAAACTTAGAGGGAGGCAAAGAGATGACATTCTTAAAGGTGGTCATAACGCATCATACTAAAAATTTCACACTGACTACCAAACTGTATTACCCACAATACTCGATGTCACATATGTTCAATGGCGCGCTTAATCTTTATTTAATGAGGTACAATATATCATTGTTGATTCTATTGAGACCATTAAATCCAAAATAAACAAACAGTAGGGGTAAAGGAGGTCAACCCACAACATGGTTGCTATGATACCCAATCTCTATAGTATAATAATTTAGAGAACTTAAAAGTAGACCTAGTACTTTATGTAGTTCTTCATTGTATTGAGTACAATATCTTATGTTTCACTATTCAAATATACAAAATATGGTAGAGCTACTGTACGTCCTTTTTTTTTTAGGGTAAGCAGTTACCAGAAATCTGGGAAAAGGGGGATGAGAGGGAGGTTAACATGATAGGTAGACAACATTAGCCTACTTGACAAATTAAAACAATATTTTATTTAAAAAAACAAGTCACATGTATAAATTTTACTTTGATTTTATTATCAGGGCAATTCATTTGGACTGTGTTTGGTCTATTAAAACTGAAGATAAGTTGTTAATTTAATTGCTAAGGAATTCATGTGAATTCTACCAGACTAGAACCCAGAACCCTTAATTATTAGCCCACAGCAGCTAACCCATTTTAAATTGCAAGTACTGTTACTAATTTGGTTATAACATTCTGCTTGACAGTCATTTCAAAAGCTGTACTATCATTTCTGATACATTCATATGTAGGTAAATATAAAATAAAACTTTTGTAATGGTACAGTACTGTAAAAATTAATTTAAAATTAATTCATAAGCAATCAATGACTAGCTTACTTATTTAATTAATTTTAACAATAAAAACATGTTTCTTATAATTATTTGGTAAATAAATTATGAACATATAATAATGACATTAATATATCAGTTTATAATAATATATAAATTAATAAAATATATTTATTCAATATAGTGTATGCTTAAAGCAATGTTGCTAATATCACACAAAGTATATTAACAATTCCCTTAATATATAATCTATTATTATCAAAAGACAAAATAATAAGAATAATCATGGCCTTGGATATGGTATTTCAATAGGAAATATCTTCTAAAATTAAAGCAATGTTGCTCATATCACACAAAGTATATTATAATTCCCCTTAATATATAATCTATTATTATCAAAAGACAAAATATGAAGAATAATTATGGCCTTGAATATGGTATTTCAATAGGAAATATCTTCTAAAATTAATTTACACTTGATTTAAAAACGTAATGGTTGATAAAAACCAGGAAGTCCTTCCCTCGGGGTAACGCTTACCTCAGTTTGTTCAATACACAAAGGTGATTGTTCTAGTTACGTCAGGTTAAAACCTTTTATATAGTTGTAGTTGTACTTGATATTGATTTAAAACTCTCCCTTAATTGTTGAGTACACTAATCCCAGTTTGAAACCTCTGTTATAAATGATATCCTAAGATGTCAGGAGCACTGTGTAATTGTCTGTTAGCGGTCAATATGTCCAAGGATTATTAGCTTTTAGTGGATGAAAACAAAACATCTAAAACAAACTAATCCTTATTAAAGTGTCTGTCCAATGTCACAGCATAGTGTAGAAAGAACATTCATAATACCCATGAAACTCCCATACAAAATTTAAAACCAAAAACTTCATAAAATTTTTCAAAAACTTTATAGAAAATAAAACTTATGATTATATTTATTCTCTCCCTTTGCCAATTTGTTTTGTTTACTTGGCTTTTTAATATAATGTGTGGTTTTTGTTTCTTGAAATTATATATCAACCAAGGAAGTGCTTAAAAAAGGACAAAAAACAGAAACAATTATTATTATTTTATAAATCATCATTAATTCTTAAGCAACAGAATTTTAGATGTATTGGTATTTACATACAATACAGATTCACCTTGCTTTCCATAAATATGTATTAAATCCGCATTCTTTACAGAATCTCTTAAGAAGTTAAGCTGCATAATCCACTTCATATACCTCCCCTATCAGTCAATCTGACAAACACTGCCGCCGGAAAGAATAAAATACTCAGAAAACCTGTCACCAAATTTATATGGGTACATGTTTTTCCCTTGCTAATAATTTGTTTCAAGTTTGTTATTTTTTTTTTCTTTTTTTAAGGATATTAAACACTACAGCTATTCTTCCATTGTGTATAAAACTTAATATAATTAATTTTTTTATTGAAAAAGAAAATTACTGTAAACTATAAACCTTTCCTACAACTTAAGCTTAGTTTCCATACACTTGCGTACACGCTATTGCCGACAGCTTTCGGTGATGCTGATTGGTCGGTCAGGGACTGGCACGCTGTACAACAATTGCACTAAAAACACTGTAGCGACAGAGTAGCAATTGTATTGAAACAAGGCTTTACCAGCTAAAGTACTAGGTTGACATCAGCACCTGGTTATGAACGTTGAAACCCAAAGAAATAATTAAAAAACAACCCCTGAAACAACCTGACAAATACACCTTACAATAGACTTTCACTTGCCAATCAAAACAATGATTATGTTTCCATAGTAACATCGGTGTAAGTATCATCCTCTTAAGCAGCATTAACAGAAACTCTTTTCACATTAAGACGTGTTGTTCATCAAAGGTGGGAGTTTATACTGTACTTGTTGCATTAGCTTCCTCCTCCAGTGTTGAAAGCGAGTGCTGCTCAATTATTGATTCAATTTTGTTAAGGAGTTCAACTGATAAACAACCTAGATAAGCATGGACACACTCACACTCATGATTGGGCAACACTTTTTTATAAATTGTTTTCGCAAACTTATGTTTTTTTAAGTTCGTCAGAGGAAGGCGGAAAAATAATAAAAATTAAATTTTGTTTTCTTATTTAGCAAATATTTTTGCCAAAAACGATCCACATGGAGGAGAAAATAAAAATTAAATTAAATGTAAACAGTTTATTAATGGGATTGTTAAATGCTTTAAATTTATATGATCAGGAAGAAATATATATATACAGTATCTTATTATCAGAGATTTCAAGGCAGCGGCGGGTGTAAACAATTTTTTTATATAATTTTTTTCTAAAATTTCCATTTTTTTAATGGCAGCAGGTGCACTAATTGGCCAAAAAAATAAAATATAATTTTTATTAGAAATCACCATTATTGGCAGGTGGAGGGTTCGCTAAACAAGGTATAAAAAAAGCCTTGCCTTGTAATAAGTACATATGACACTTATGGTATTAAGAAATTATTAAATTATAGTAGAAAATGAAGAAACCATTCTATCCTGGACATTTTATTTAAAAATTGATTACAGGTCTCTCATCAATTAAAGGCCACTTTTGGGACCAGGGTTCCCTTGGTCTTCAGCAGCTTTGGTCTCTAATTAGAATAATACAGATAATAGGCATTTGTTAATATGGGACCACAGAAAAGTGGTCCTTAATTTAAGGTGGTCTTTAATAGGAGGGGTCTTTAATTAGATGGAGAACTGTAGTGTAGTAAAGTCAACAAAACAGTGCGTGTCACCTTTATAATATTCTAAACGAAGCTTTGTTTGCACCATCACATTTTCTGTGGAAATAATTGTGGTCTGCCCATATATGGACATGATGAAGTCATATCACACTAAATATAGGCATATCACAGATAGTTTTCACATTTAAAAAAATAATAATAATTTTGTTTAAATATTTATTTTTTTTAATATAAAAATGTATGTTTTTTACAGAAACTTTTAAATAAATCTTTACTTTTTTATGTATGCCAATTCATTAGCTCCAGAGAAAATTGTTTTACAACTTACCTTTTTTCAAGTAACAAATCTTGCCCTGTGTGTTGAATGCAATAGTTTCTGGGCACACACATAATGTTGTGTACAAATCATTATGTTTAATGGACTTCAGTGATATAACACTCTCTCTGCATACTGCCCACAGTTCAGATTCAAAGAGACATCCATTATGGAGGTGCAACAATTCCGCAAGAGATATCAAACCTTCCTCCACTTCCTCTTCTTCCTCCTGGAGAGGTGAGAGGGGCTTAAATCCCACAGATAAGCTCATTGTAATGACCAAGCTGATCACATTTTTTGAAATTAAACATTTTTTTGCAAGAGACTTTAAAAGATCAATAATTAGTGATAGGTTGTTTTCAAATGAAGATCACTATGGATGACTATTACACTGTGATGGCCATACCTGCTGCTACAATCAAAACACCAAAGTATTAAAGGATTAATCTTGAGTTGGTCATTGAACAAACATTCCCATCAAAATAAACTCCTTGTTTACTGAGACCTATAGTAAACCTGCAAGAGAAGATCTTATTGGTCTTCTGATAGGAAAAAAAACACCTACTTCTGAATTTGCATGTTTATGTGTTCCTGTAAACTCAAGCAACCAGAAAAGGAAATTAGGCATACGAATGAGGCAGTATTCATGATTCTCCTTCTTGATCACTTCTCTTCTTCCTTAAAACGTGTGAAACCTCTACTACTGCTGCCAGTTAACTTGCTTAAAATGGATTGTATTGTTATTCAAGCACTAAAAATGTAATTGATGCAACAGCTTGATATCCGAACACTTTCAGTACACACACCATACCACACGACGAAGTGCCAACCAACGAAGGGGACCCTACCAGCACCAGTCTCAATGGTTTCGTGATTTTCTTCAAGAAAACAGCAATTTCGACACAACAAATTTTTACTACTGTTTGTCTAAGCGGTTATGACGATAAAGATGAATAATCAGCAACGCAGGCGGTCAATAGATTGTACCTGAATAATATGCGAATTTCCTCTCTTTAGATGAAGTAGGCCCTATAAAGTTGCTCACTCTACCGTGCCGTTAATCTACAATCCGATGTCTTGATTTTGTTCTACTCTGTTTTGTAGACCCAATAGTGTACTCTGAGTATTGTTAGAAGTGGTAAGATTAGAAGTAATTACCAATTGTTCAGAAGATATCTTTCTGTGTGCTTTTGTCTTGCTTGAGTCATTCATTTACTTTACGGTTTTATTATAAGTCTGTAACTAAAGACATCTTTATTCGAGAGAGCGTGAAGCGTGAAATTTTCTTGAATGTTTACGACTTTGAGCTTAGCGCCCTCTTTACGACAGGAATGCTCCACTTTTGGTGATGGGCAAAACTTTCTTAACAAATTATTTTACACTCGTATCTTTTGTGTGAATTTTTAGTAAGCCCAAGTGGAAACATTAACAAGGTTTACATAGAGTAGCATTAAGTTTTTTTACATTATTGTTTAGGTAATATTAAAAGATTTCCATACTTTTTGGAAACATGCCCCATCAACTATTGAACTAAGCCATCAATTCCCATGGCAACGCACATGCAACTAATAAAGTTAGTACTGAAGTTCGAAATAAAGTTTTTACTACAGTATAGCCATGCGTATTACGGTATAGTAATTATGTGTATAAGCGAAAAACATGTGCATTTAATTTCATATGATATAATAAAGAATTGTAATGATAATGATGATAATAAAATAATAATAAAGATAATGACATTGTTAACGATACAGAAAATAATAGTGATAATGATGATGATATAATGATATTGATAATAATTATGTTATTGATAAATAATAATGATAATAAAATCTTTTAATTTCTGAATCAATGTCATCTGGTGCGTTTACTGTAGACTATTATTACTAATACTACTATTATTATTTATTATCGTTATCACTATCATTACCATTATTATTATTATTATTATCATTCTCATTATCGGTATTATTATCAAGTCAACACCACACCAATGTCTGGGTAAATAATTATCATCGGTGACGTCCTGAAACTCGTAACACTCGTGGCACACGAGAAGGGGGTTCATTGTTCCTAACTAGAAGGCCTATCGGGCTGAGTTTTCCATAGCCTCACCTTCAAGGTGTGCAGAATGGGTGGCGACCCCTTCAAACCTTCAGCCCATGTACATAATGACCCATTATGCCATGAATGCTGTATTCTTTTCAATGCGAACGTCTCAACTCTGCCTGTGGACATTTATTTCTATCCATTCCATCGAAATCTGTCGAGGTTTCTCCAACGGGCCGGGATGGGGGAGGTGAGTGTACCTCTCTCGACTGTATCCCTGGCCCCAGCTTGCTGACGCCACCCTTGATACTGACTAATTAGCCACGTGTGTGGTTGTGTAACTGTGATTTCCACGGATCCACAGGAACCCAAATAGTACCCGACTAGGGCCAGTGAGTCGCTTTACTGCTTCACTTCATAGACCTATAGAACATTTAATGTAGGCCAATTGAGCAGGCCTACTGAATGATTGTATATATATTCATACTATATGGCATAATTATGAACCATTCTCTTATACACAGATACATTACCTTTCACAGTATAATCGTGTTCACATAGGCCACATACGCATTTAAATCGATTTAGAAAGTGAAGTTAGTTGCGCTTATATGTTTGCGAGTGTATTAAGATATTTAGTTTAGGCCTACTAATTCTGAGGCCTGTAATTTATTTTTTTTTTAATGTGACTGGCCAATGCCACAACCTCTAAATCTGCCCCTGAGTCCTGTACACAAGAAATCAGTCGTAGCAACACACAATTTTATCTGTAAAACTTACCTAATAATATCTGCAGGATTGCTGGAAGGGTACAACACAAGTGGTTAACATGTACTAATAAGATAATTATTATTCTGTAGTAATTCTATAGAAGCCACTATCATTTCCATATATACTCTGGTTCGATACCCCGGATGTTTATTGTTTAAGATGATCCTTTTTGTTATGGCTGTCACTTTGCGGTGGAGACCAAACAGCAAGACAATATGAATGGTAGGGTATTTGAAAACAACAGGGTATGGATAAACGACGTCGCGAATAGGCCTATTTCAAGAGGTTCGTTGCCTAAGGGTATACCTCCTACAGCGGACTTTACGCGCCCACTCAGTTGTCTTATTGCCTATGGGTATTATATTATAGTCTTATAATTTATTATTGTTGTTATTGTCATTACTATTTTTATTAATTATCATTATTAGTTTTATTATCATTATATTATATTATCAACGGTATTGTTATTATTATTATATTATTATTATTATCATTATCATTATCATTATCATTTTATCATTATTATTATTATTATTACTACTTGCGAAAAGGCCGAATCGGCGGCCTTTCACGAGGCTGTGAGGTACTGGGGCGGTTCCAGATATTTACAGGAGGGGTGCAGAAAGAGGATGTGAGGTACTGAGGCGGGTCCAGATCTTTACAGGAGGGGGTGCAGAAAGTATAAATTGGTCTAACATAAGTTTTAATGACTTGGGAACCGTTCTGCCTTATCACCCTCCCATCTTTTGAGAGACTTAAAAGACAACAATAATATTAGCGGGAAAATTATTCTCATAAATGACATACTGAATACTCTGCTGCTCCTGTCGCTGTACTTTACTAACGTAATTTGAATAATGAATTGAATTCTCACATGTGTTGCTTTTGTAACGTGTATTGTCCTCGTCCAATATTTTGTACACTCGTGTTTTAATATTGTAAAATGATTTTTTTACGATATTTTAATGGACATAAATATGAACTCAATATGCCAATAATGGGAAGACATTTAAAAGAATGGTGCTAAAATGTATTTCTTCCAGAGCTAGCTGTGCACACGTCTGGGCGGTATATCAGCACAAACATTTTGTCCTTACTCAAATTACCCGGGGGCTCACTCTTAAATATTTCTATACGGGTAGGTGCCGCATTTACGGGGGTATTTTTGAGGACTTGGTAGCACAAGTGTGGAAATTTATTGAAGAGTTTCAGCATGTATAAGGTATATTTGCGAGGACTTGGTAGCACAAGTGTGGGCAATACGTAGGTAAAATTGGTAGTCCCTGCTCCGTCCCGTATCAAAGTAGCATATTTTTTCACACGATTTTAGCGAAGATTTTTTGCTAACCTCCGTCCTAAACCTACCGTTGACTATACATAGCCACGAACAGTAGAGATCGCTAGCAGAGAGAACCGTGGTCTTATTCGCCATCGGGAACCTTGGTAGGTTACATGGCCGTAATAGTAGTTCAACCGACACCGGATTTTGGTAAATGGTAATTTACCATAATAATTTTCAGTAAAATAGATAAAGTGTCTCATGTCTTGGAGTGGCTGCTGCACCCCCTCGTAAGGTTGCTATACAAGTGTGCCCCCCCCCCAGGGTCAAATTAGTATATGAATATTATTATTAGCATTGTTATTATTGTTGTTGTTGGTTGCTGTTGGTCCCATTATTTACTGTTCCTCCACTCAAAATTTGTCGGTATTTTCTGCCGGAATAATATTACATTGGTATGATATTTTTATATAAATGTACTGCTGCTATCCCGGAGGTCGACAAACGTAAACATAGTACGATGACCTCTTACGCTATAAAAAGTTTTTGTTTTCCTTCAAACCAAACACAAATGAAATAACAATTCCTAAAGAATAAATCCATTTGAAAGCGAGAATTCACTTTTCATTAATATATTCAAGTTGTTTAAATAATTTGTATAATTATTGTGTAATTTTTGCCGTCGAGTATATCTATGAATTATTATTTCAGGATTGGTCTTACATCAGATATTTCGTTCTTTTGAAAATATTGTTAATGTAGGCATATTTTTTGTTGTTTGGCGGACCGTTTCTTTTGTTAACTGTTGCTATCCGTCGACAGACGCAAACATAGTGCGATGGCCTCTTGGCTATAAAACTTTTTTTTTTACTTCAAACCAAACACAAATAAAATCAAATGACAATCCTTAATGAATAAACCCCCTTGAAAGCGATAATTCATTTTCCATTAATTAATTCAAGTTATTAAAATAATTTTTATTATCGTGTCATTTTTGCCGTCGAGTCTATCTACGAATTATTATCATCAGAATTGTTCTTATATCAGATGTTTCATTCATTTTAAATATTAATGTACGCCTTTTTTTTTTTTTTTTTGCTTGGAGGACCGTTCCTTTTGTGGGGACTGTATTGAAATTGTAAGCCAGAAAAGTGTTGTATATTTTTCTATCCTATATTTATTTCTTTTTGACTTATTTTTTATATATATATATATTTATTATTATTTATTTTACTAAGTTAGGTAATTGCTTTCTGTATTTAGTTAATTGCTTTCTGTATTTAGTTAATTTTGTTTGATTATATTATAATTGGCCTGTTATTGTATTTATGTAAACTGGATTGTAGTGATTAATGTCCCCGCCCAGGAATTCAATTTACTTTTTTTTGTTTTTTTTTTGTTTTTTTTTTGTTTTTTTTTTTGCAAATAAAGAATAAGAGTAAGAAAGGGTAAAATGTGAAATCAAGAATTTTAAAATCTTGCAATGTTAGTGTTGGCTTGTTTTCAGAAGGTTATCATAGTTCCAGCAGCGGAGAGACTACAGGAATCCACATACTGTTTCTCCGTGGGGGAGCCTAAAAGTGTGTGTGGGGGGGGGGGAAATATGTGCCACTGATTACAAAACAACAAAATACCGGTTAATTTTCACTACAATATTAGGATTAATTAGCATATATTTATATTTTTCATCAATTAATGTGCTCAGCTCTGAACTCTGGGTAATTAATCGCATGAATAGACAACCTACTTAGCGACACGTTCCAGTGATGAAGCAATTCGAACCATTGTTACTAAACAATTATGTTTCGTGACACTTGTAGCGAAGTGTATAGTGCAGTACATCAGTTCATTCATCATCGTTTTTAGAAGACATCGAGTCGGTTATAATTATTAAAATATTCGTTTGTGTTACTCGTTATGTATAAATTTTCCACGATAATTGTTAGCAGTCGAGTGGGCACGTAAGTAGTTTATTAGATGAAGAGAGGGCCCACAATGAAATCAGAATGACTATTTTTAATTACTTTTTAATATATATTAATGGAATGAGGGAAATGAGGCACAACAATAACATTGTCATGTGTATGGCTTTCACGGTAACTTACTCAAGATCTTAATGAAAAAAACAAAAACAAAAACAGACTGATTATTGTATGAGAAACCAACCATTTTAGAGGGCGTCCTCATGCTTAGGCAAACTGAGACGATTAAATATGTTCATTTCAAAATATTAGCAAAAGTAAGTAACTACTCGCCAATTACAGAATGGAACTAAGCTTAAGGAAAGGAATTGTTTTTTGTCGTGAGAACTGCAACCCTAACCGTAACGCAATAATAACAATTATAATTATGATATATTATAACTATAGTAGCAATAATTATAATATATTGCAGCAATACTAATAATACAATAATAATAATATTAATAATAATTTTTATTAATTAAAAATTAATATTTTATATTATCACTGTTATTACAATTATCGTTATTAACACAAGGTATGATAAATTCAAAGTCAACGATATGTAATATTATTACGTTTTAATGAATACAGTCATTCAATAATCAATAAAGTAGCATATAAATACAACAGGTATTTGATCAGCTTGGAATCGATCGATATAACGCGTTTAATGGGAATACTTTAAAGCTGATTTTCCCATAAGCCTGATAATCTGCCAACCTCAATTGGATATGTTATAACAACAAATACATAATTGCTTCTATAATAGAATTAACACCATACAAATCCTAGATAGAATTTACACAAATGTTTCACAATTAATCGAGTATAATTGTAGAATGTAGGTTATATCGAGATTTTCAATCAAAATACATTTGATACCGTATTAATTCATAAATCATAATATAATTAATTTTACTTTCAATAGTCTTGATATTTAAGACAAATTTATGATAAATTAATTACATGTATACGAAAGTGAACTTCTAACAACTTTTATTGGCTACTCATCATAAACGTTATCCAAATAACTGATATTCTTATGATGCTCATAAAAATGAGTATAAAATATATTCTAAAGTAGTGAATTGTTTTATTCTTATATAATAATATTAAATAAGAAGTTGGGAATAAAGAATAGCTGCATGTCTTTAAAACAGTAAGAAGTCTGTGGTTACACAATCTCATACATCTACATACGTGTTAATGCAAGGATCCTGACAAGGAAGGAACGAATGTTGACGGCGAGACTGCCAATAACATTACCAAAATAGATTCCGGGACAATGTACGGCTTTTGCCAAAATATTGGAATCCGTTTGGATTTGCACTTGTTTTCAAGCAGTGGTTCTTATTCTTTTTTTTTAATGAAAATATTTAGTTTCTTAAACTTTCTTGTACACAAGAAACATCACAAAGCACCATCAGACAACTTTAAAGTCATAAAGTAAATATTTCTTACCAAAATTTCATACAATTTCCCCAAATATTCTACACTGTCTATTTACAATAAATTATTTACAATATTTTCTTTCGATTTGACAAATTTTGAGAATGGATTTCCTTTGAAAACAATATCGACAAAATGCAATGATTCGCGGAATAATAAAATTTACAATATACAGTACTATGTTTTTGTAAGACTTCGTTTGATTATATTCTAGAAAATTTGGCGCCAATAATACTATTCTTCTTGATGATCTCTGTCGTCTGCCTCTGTTTCTGAGCAGATAGAAGTTTCACCGTCACTCTCTCGTAGCTTCTGTAATGCTCTGATCTTAGCTAGTTTTGCTTGCTGTTTCTCAAAGTTTTGTTTCCGCCATTTGATTCGCCTGTTTTGAAACCATACTTTGACCTGCAATTAGACAACAAAACTATTAAAGAACTGGTATTGAAAGTGTCATTAAATGATAATGATAATGATAATGATGATGATGATGATGATGATTTTTATGGTGGTGGTGGTGGTGATGAACATAATAAACCACAATACTAAAAACCTATCAAGAAAAGTATTATTGGCAGGAAACATTGCTTAGTCAATGGCTGCTAAAAAATAATTTTCAGAGGCTAAATTTTAATTATTAATTTTTTTATTATTAATTATTATCATTATTAATTATTCTGTCATTTAATATTAATAATAAGCCTTATTGTTGTTGTTTCAGTTTACTGTCTTGATAGGGGGTATATAATTTTCTTTTCAAACCAAGATTTTCACTAACCTGCGATTCGGTGAGGTTTAATGTTGATGCTAAGTATAAACGCTCTGAGCCCACCATGTACTGTTGGCGTGCAAACTCCTGTTCGAGGCTATCCAGTTGCTCTTGTGTAAATATCGTGCGCACACGTTTTGATTTCTGGGACCCATTTGTTTTCAGCCAATCGGGTTCTTCGAGGATTCGTTTTGAAATTTCTGTGAAAATAAAAGCAAAAGTGAAATGTTACAAACTTAACAAACAATATTGGCAGCTGAATTAATTAAAACATTTTAAGAATATTCAGGAAAAAACTACACATACCATGCACCTATCAAAACAATCGTCAATCTTTTTGATGAATGACAAATATTTTATCACATTGCTTTGCCATATTTATGCAACTGTGCTTGTATTAATGAGAGAAAACAACAGGCTTATGCATATTTTACATACAATATGTAACTCTTTAATAAGAGTACACTATGTTGATATTTTTATGATATTGTTTTTCTATACAAATAATACGCATCTACTTAAACATGTGTGTTAATATCGTTTTGATCTTTCAAGTAATATTAATTAATTTCTTTTTATATTGTTTTTTTAATGCTCAAGTAATACGCGCATGTTTGATATGTGTTGATATTGTTTGTACAATTCAAACAAAAAAAAAACACATGTCGGTATTATTTGAGAAATTTTAATTGGAATATGTCGTTAATTAATGAAAGATTGGTTCGATGTTTGAAAAATTAAAATATGTAATATGTAAATATGTAATATGTATTTTGTAACAAACTTGATTGATATGAAAGTTAACCAGATGCGAATGATTGATTATCTCAACGTATTAGGTTATTATGTTTGTTAAAATGCTTATAATAAGCACAGAGCCGATGAAATTTACTACGTATCAATAGATTTCACAGGTTTCATTTACTCCAGATTTAGATATTCAGCCATGAAGAGATTTCTTCCATAATAGCTTTTATCGTTATATTATTATCGTATATATATATTATATATATATATATATATATATATATATATATATAGGCCTATATATATATATATTACATAATATAAAATATATGCTAAATATATTTGAATGAAAGTTGATTATCTAGGTAATTCTTGCCACTACAATTGAACATTTCTCGGCACTACAAAGTTCCAGGTGAGCACATTATCGGATGAGTCTAAAACAGTGCAAAAACCCATTCGTCATAAGAGCAGTGTTTCCCTAGTTGTTCATCTTTTGATCCTTTGATAGCAGGTGTTACCGCCGCATTGTATGAACATGGTCTTACCGGGAAAGGATTTTCTTTGACTGGGGTGTGACCGCAACTAGAGATCAAGCCTCTCAGAACCTAAAAGTGCCAGGGATAACCTTACTTTTAACAACTTCTACCGCGAAATTGATGAACAACAATGCGGATATTAACACTTCAAACTGAGCAGCACTGAATTTTGACTTACTTAGTGTTGGCCGGAACAATGATGTCTTAGAAAAGGTATAATTAAATGTAAATAAATGTATTGTCTTCCTAATTTTAGACTGGGCTCGACGCATTTCGAAAATCATGAAGTGGACAAAATACTCTAAAACAAAAACCAGATTGCCGCTATTGATATCTGGTTAACGAAAGTTCTCTAATAGACCGACAGTCAATTATTCTGCACCTGTAACACATAGGCGGGACTTACTAAAGGATCTTTTCATCATCTTAATTACAACACAGGTTAATTTCTATCTACAAACAATTGACCAGGTGGGCCAACGATCATTTCAATTGAGTATTCCATTATTTGAACCATTACTTCGTATACTTAATGAATTGCGTATCGAACAATTACATGTAATGCGGTACCCTAAAAAATCAGCACGCAGTAAATCATACTTATGTTTGCATAGAAAACATCAGAACATGTCTTAGATAATAGGACTATATTCGGTTAAGCAACACCGAGTTTACTTTGTAAGCAATGCGGGCTTTCTCAGTGAACTCAATACTACAGTACAATAGGCCTACTAAGATTCATAAATGTTTGCAATGTATTAAAGACAGTTGTTTTCGAATGTGAACGGGAAAGCAGGGTCTGGTTTTGAAATTCCTCCATAATATAATCCTCATCAATGATAATTACTATGTTAAAAGTTACCTCATGTTATTTAAATATTTTGAGATAGGAATCGACATTTTGAGACTTGTTTAACTATAGTTGCCGCAAAAATGTACAAGTTTAAATAAATGTAAAAGGAATGTATTCTTAGAAACCATAGGCAGTAAGTAATGGAAAGTGCCAACCAATCATTTAAGATGGGATAAACCAGTGCACTCATTAACGCCAAGTAGATATTTAAATATTGGGTCCTCAGAAACCAAGTTTACAAGTGACTGAAATTTTGTACTGGAATTTCAAAAACAATCCATTCAGATATCATGAACATAGGAATATATATATATATAAGATGTGTATAAGAGATGTCTACAAATACAGCTGAGGTACCAGTGTAACATAAATTTGATGACTTATCTCGTATTTAGTTTCTTCCTAACAATGTAATCGTTTATTTGTAATTTGAGAGTTAGGTAGTGTAACATAAAATACTGGTAGCATTTTATTAATTTTTATTGTTTACTAAACAACAAGCAAATTTGAAAGTTAATAAAGTGCTCCAGTTTAGACGCATAATACTATGTTATATCTTGCATAATAATAATAAATAATAGTAATAATAAATAATGATAATAATAATAATAATGATGATGATAATAATAATAATAATGATAATAATAATGATAATAATAATGATAATAATAATGATAATGATAATAATAATGATAATAATAATATTTAATAATAATAATAATAATAATAATAATAATAATAATAATAATAATAAATAATAATAATAATAATGGTATGGCGATATTAATGGTGATATTAATAACAGCAAAAATAATTGTAAACCTACCAGATTGTGATGATTTCGGTGAGCAGATGTTCCAGATATCGAGAGCATTTGATGTTACATCTCTGCTGTGTTCCTTTTCAATTTGAGACGTTGCAGGCGACCGTTTCTGGTAAATGACACGTGGTCTTGAAAGAATTGGATAATGAGGAATTCTGATAGATGCAGACACTCTAGGATCACACAAATGGTACCCGTTGCTAAACGGAACATTTTCGATAGTGTTCTTTGGCGAAACTGGTGAAATTGATCGCGACCGTTCCTCTTTCAGACCTAGGATGGCATCAATTGTGAAAGAAGATTTCTTGGTGAATGTGGATTCTGTCAGTAGTGGGGGGCTGTACGATGGTCGAAGATCAGATATCGGTTGGCCTGCGGTTGAATTGTGACATTGAATTTGTGGACGTTGATACGGATGGTAGAAATATGTACCTCGACAATGAGGGTTCATTATTGGTCTACGGATACCCCCTGGTAAATCTTGATTCAGCATTCTGGAATGTCTCTGTCTAGTCAAATTATATCTCTAATGTACGTTTTATCAACAACAATGGCAAAGTATACCAGTTGCTAAAACTTTCGTGCTATATATATACACTGTCAAATTAATTAAGTAGATGTGATTGGCTGGGCGGGAGCGTAATTCAGAATATGAGCCAATCAGATCAAGCGTATCGAGAGCGTAAGATTAATTATGTGAATGAGGCTGTACGAGACTTCAAAGAGGTCGATATCGCGTTTTGAACAAGCTCGTTAATCCGCAATCATTCACGCCCATTTGTTACCGTCAATTGAGCATTAACATGGGAACGTTTTAACCAATTAATGAATCAGGAGAAACACAATATACTCTAATTATACCAAGTATCAAAGTAATATACATATGTCTATCGGTGGATAGATAGTACTCGCTGTATTATGATGTTACAACATTAAAAAATAAAATGCTTTTTACCAAATGAATGAATATAATTTTCAACAAAAGAATATTAATGCAATCCAATTAGGCTATTATTTCTCATTATCTGAAATCTATCATTATGTAATATAGTCACAAATCGAATCGTGTTGCGTGATGTGTGGACGAAATATCTGTATTCAACATTTTTTTTGTTTAATTAATAATATAAGGCCTAATTAATTATTTTAAGACTTTTTACAGTAGCCTTTCAAAATATAAGGCGTTATACATCAAATAGTTGTTTAATTAGGCCTATCGTTACCATTTTTTATTCCACGCATATTATAACTTCTCAAAAATATTACTAGACCTCATTACTGCTATCAGTATGAAATTTAGGCCTAATACACTATTCTTTCACGTTGAATATGAAACATTTTATTCCAATTTGTATATACATTGAAGTTTAACATAAAAGGCCTAAGTAATTAGAGGTTATCAATCAAAACATTATCACCTTGAACACCCGACTGTGGAGGGAATATGGATACAAGTAAATTGAAAACAAAAACGAAAAGTGGGCCTGAGGTATTGCAAAGGGGTAAAATTAAGATTACAATGTGAAATATTTTGATGTGTGCGTTTGCGTCAGGAAAATATCATAGGGAAAAAAAATTAGAACAGTATTTGGTAAGATACGATTACACATTAGGTAGGGAAAAACATCACTCCAATGTGAAGGTAATGATAATGAATATTTATTTGAAAAATTAAATTAACTGAAATCGAGTGCCAGAAAAAACAGCACTTAAAGCGGTGATAAATTTAACAGAGCAGTAATATAATATATTTGATATATTGAATCAAGATATCCCTTGAAGATAGGTGTTAATAATAACGTTTTTAGTTATTTTAATGTATTTAAGCAATAAGAATTCAGCAGTAGGCCTATATCCATAGTAATTATGTTACATCAATTTACATGTCTCGTGGGAAGAAGCAAATCTATATTTACGCGATTCTGACGTTTAGTTTATGAATTAAATTTCTTTATTCGTCATATAAATACTAAGCTTATACAAGCATTGAAAGGAATATTTATAATTAGAACTGCCTAATTTTAAAGTTTTCTAAGCCTCCTTAATTTATGTATGTGGTCATTTTGAAAACTAACGTTCCACTATAGCCTAGCTCATCCTATGTATTGCACCTATTGCAAAACTACCGTAAAACCTCGAAATGAAGCCCAATGGGTTTAATCTCAAAATGAAGCACATCCCAAATTGAAGCCCCCTCTTCAGTTTGCAAAATTAGCCTAAAAAAGAAGCCCATCTCGAAATGAAGCCCATTGGCTTCTTTTTAATACGTACATGAATTTCAAAAACAAAATAAATTAAAAACAAACTTGGCTTATACAGTAGTTTAAGTGATTTAATGCCAGTTAAATCCACTCCATGGTACAGATAATATTACAGTGGGCTTATTTATTGTTTTATAGTATAAATTCACAAAATTTACAGCATTCATTTTGAAAAGAAGCCCCCTCTTTACTTTGCAAAAATAGCCTCGAAAAGAAGCCCATCCAAAGTTCGCAATAAAAAGAAGCCCAGGGCTTCAATTCGAGGTTTTATTGACGACAGGTTGGATACCTGTATAGTTACACTGTATGTCCAGGGAGTTAATTTAGCATGGGTTGAATCATCATGACACGCTATTATACATTAATTAATTCTGTCCAATTGATGAACCCTCTTGTTTTGTGAACTAATTAATAAAATCATCAACACCTCTGGATTATAATTATTGTCTGCTCGTCTGATTGGTGTTTCAGCGAATTCTCCATTAGCCGATACATTGAAATTGACCGTCCTTGCTTTCACTGAAAACACGCGCTATTCAATTTTATATGAATCCAATTATCCACTAACAATGCACCTAATGTTCTGTAATTACACGATGTTTTGTGAAAACTGACAACTATTGTTATGTCTTGATGAAGTCAGAAAACTATCGAGATGCTTGTAATGACAGCTTAAGTTTTCTTAGATCGTTTTAATGTCTTTGGAGACAATACATGAGGAGTAGGACTATTAATATGTTTTTATTAAGTAAGGCCTTCAAAATAATATTGATAGACTTTAAAATTAATTTCAGACTCAATTGGCTCATGAAACAGAAATATCAAGAAAGTACAATATAGATTATACGAACATCAGTCGAACATGCTGAAATTGGGAATCACTCAACGTTAAGCCTAATTACACTAGCGCAGCATAACATAATTTCTAATAACAGTTAATACGGTAACACTACGCCTAGTGCTAATACGGTACTAACTTTACTTTATATAACTTTGATCTGTCCAAGAGAATTGCTTTATATATTTACTATATGATTGACCTGTTTTAAAGAACCTGTTTTAAATGTATATACATATATGTAACTAGCTTACCAAACCGTTTTCCCCCATACGAAATTTGCCAATGTAATTTCACATTAGTTCACTATTATTGCTTACTTATATTATAATTTTTCTATGAAATCATGCATAAATGGTTTAAAATAGGCCTAGGATACGAAACGGCAATGAATGTATGCTTATTATCCATGTAGGCCTATGTAATTAGTACATCATTATATACTATAGCTAAATTTTTTTTTATTGATTTCTGGATTGATCTCTTTATTGTTAATATATTAGGCTTACTTTTATTTTTTATCCCCGTTAATAATTCGTAATAATTATATAAGAGACAAACAAGCGAAGAACAGATAATCAGGTGTTAGTATGGTATTTGTTGATACATAAAATTAGCATACGGTAATTATTACATTAATTTACATTTCATTTGTAAGCATACCACACATCTATGTGTAAATACCTAATTGTTTATAGGCCTATTTCTCAATAAAATCATTTATGACTTACTATATTATTATTAATCAAAACGACTATAAAATAATCATAGAAATAATAAAGGTTATAATAAAAAATATTAAAAACCTTATAGCAATGTCTTCTTTGTGAAATTATTGAAGAAAAATCTATATGGACAGTAGACGTTACGAAGAAATCATTAATGTATGTATATATATATATATATATATGTATATATATATATATATATATATTATTTTATATGCAACGCCTCCTTGATTTTTCTTTGGGAAGGAGGTGTTGCATATATAATGGGACACGCCCTCTCTCAACAAGCAACTTTTACATGTTAATTTAACTTTGTCATTCTGATGTTCATCATTACGTTATCATCTTTATTCATGCAATTCTTTCTTCTTTACAATTACATTCACATCGATTCCTTAAAAATGCAATGTCATGATGTCTGTTCAAATAGCTATGGTTCAATTCCCATTTATTTAAAATTACAATGCTTCACAGTTGTTCACTCCTTTTATATAGTAGATTGCATGTTAGCAATCGTTTCACTGAAGATGGCGAAGGATTTGCCGAAACATGTCTGTTTTATACCGAGTTTTGATAATAAAATTCATTAGGCCTTGCCTATATGGTATTGAGTTTGAAAATTAATTATTTTTCTTAAGATTGTTAAGATATATATATATATATATATATATATATATATTAGGCCTATATATATATATATATAGGCCTGTATATATTATATATATATAATATATAAATCATCAAAGGTACATATACAGTGTTTAATAAGGACATGGTGGAACATCGTAGGCTACCCTGTAGCTTTTCAACGAATAAAGTCCTATGAAAAATCCTTGTGTAATAAAATGCCTCCCACGGGATTCGAACCTGCGACCTCTCGCTGACAAGGCGAGCGTCATAACCACTAGACCACGAAGGCTTCATGGTTGAACAGGTCCAAATACCCGTCGGGAACATTGTATTACAAAATGCTATGCCTCAAGAGGGCGTTTGGCCAGATAAATCTGGAAATACGGCTAGAAATACTGTCGTATATTATATATGATATTGAAGAAAGTTAGCCGTTAACACTTTTGAACACTGTTGAATAAATACACTGTATATGTACCTTTGATGATTTATATTATACTTATTCAACAGTGTTAACG